TTGGAAATTATTTTTTTATTGTTAAGATAACTATATAGTCATTGTAATAGATTATTATATGGAAAGTTAGAAAAAATCGCAGGGCATCCCGCTCCACAGAGAACCAAATTTCACCTCTGTGTATAGGTATCTATGCAGATATATGGATTATTAAATGTGCTATACCATACACAATTGTGTTTTTTTGTTTGAACTAAAAACTTTCAAGGCAAACAAACACACAGTCCAGCCACAATAATAAGATGCTCAAATTTTGATTCTGCGAGTCAGTATTCCTGCATTCATGGCTTAAATGGTGATGAACAGATGAGAGTAACTGAGTATCTTGTAACTGTGTGACACTTTATATATTCAGAGCACTCGAGCATTACACTGTCTCATGTGACCTCCCAAACATGCAGTGACGGGGACAGCAGTGTTCCTCATTTGGCTTTTCTAGCAGTTGACTTTCCTGACCACTCCCAAAATCTCAAATCTGGACCTTGTGCTTGTGAGGCAGGCTCAGCACCACAAATCTTTTTACCCACTTTTTAAGCCTTTTTCTGGCTACAACGTTGACTGGATAAAGTCCCAACTTTCTTAGTGAAGCACTTGTGGCCTTCTATAACATTTTTATCTGTTAGCCCTCACCTGGCACCCCTTAAGTTCCCCCAGTACAGAACTGCATTCCCATCAATCCACATTCCTACGATTTTGGAAGCTTTCTACCTAAAAAACAAGACATCTCTCTTCTTTTGTGTTTTGTTTTTGTGGCATTGGGGATTGAACCCAGGGCCTTTGAACTGAGGTACGTCCCCAGCCTCTCCCTTTTTATTTTCTGAGTCAAGGTCTCATTAAATTGCCTGGGCTGGGCTTGAATTTGTGACCCTCTTGCCTCAGCTTCCCAGAGTGCTGCACTTACAGACATTGCAACTACAGCTAGCTTCCTGGTTGTTTTGCTCCTTTTTCTCCCTGAGAAGCATGAACATATTTTTATAATGGGCTATTGTAACCTATGACCTTTTCTTTGCTTAATTTATCTACTCTTCTCCATCTCAGAGAATACCTTGACAGTATATAACAATTCAATTTCACAAATCAGATTTACTCCTGTTTCAGTTTTGTGGAACTGGAGATCGAACCTAGGGCCTAACACATTCTAAGCAAGCACTCTATCATTCAGCTGCATCCCCAACCCTTTCTACTTTATTCTTTTAAATTTTGAGACAAGGACTCAATGAGTTTAACAGATTGGCTTCAAACGTTAGGATTCTCCTGCCTCAAACGCATAGTGACTGGAGAAATCCAAACCGAAGGTGTATTAAGTGCCCTGCTCTAATACCAACAGGCACAAGG